GATATGTAAGGTAGAATTGGGATCATGGTAGTGGGGTGGAGGAAGCATTTAAGAATCAGAGGAAAATTGCATATTTCATCGTTACTACACTGCATTCCCATTTGCTCCTCACCTCCCCGCAGCCCTTCTGCAAGGGGGTGTCCAATTTCCCCCGGATGGGCCCTGGGTCCTCACTCTGCACTCCCCCTCATTCACAATGTTATGATGTTCTGTGTGTCTTTTTTTCTATGTCAGCGTTTCTCCTGAAGTCAAGCCAAGTTAGTTCTACCTTTGACCGAGCTTGCTTTATTACTTTTAGAGATAAATAAAAGAAAAACAAAACAATTTTTACATTCTCTTTACAGTCATTGTAACTTATCTCCATATACTTTCCTCATGTCTCCCCTGTCCCTCAAATTTATGTGGTTATTAGCTGTCATTAGATTAATTATGACCCTCAGTGACCCCACATATATCAGAGTAAACCTGTGTTTTACTTGTTTTTTTTATAGAATGTGACATTTTGGAAGCGGATCATCAAGACCTGTCTTTAAAGGTCCCTCAGGTTAGGTTTGAGCCACCCAACTTTCAGTTAGACATCAACACTTAATCACGTGCATCATTGAGGCATGCTACCTCTTCCCTGGCCCCCCTCAGCCCCCACCTCCCACACACCTCAAATTCCTTAAGCAGAATTCATACTCAGGGCATCTTTTTTTTTCTTCAATCCCTTTACCTCACCAATACACAATATTTCTCAAATCCAAGCCAAATATGAACCCAGCTGCCAGGTCTTAATTCACAGGTGTTTGCAAAGCAGACTCATAAAAGAGGCCCATTGAGATTTTGGTTCCAAGGGTGCCACAGTTTATTTCTGCTTAGCCTCACAAGTTTATAAAGTTTTGGTTAAAGTATGGCTGTTTACTTAACCTTTTGAGATTATGCTTCAGATTCTTGAAGAGACTTCAGTCATCTCTGGATCCTGTCCCTTCACCTACATCGACTATTTGGCAGACCAGGGTTCACATGGTGATGGATGCAATTGAGATTTGAGTTTACTAGGTGCTATGGGACGATCTTTCATTTCCTTATTGGATAAGTCCCTCACACTTTGAATTCAAATGCCTTCATGCTGGTTTGGTCAGGCAGACAAGAAACATTCTGACAATTCAGATTAGAGGTACAACGTTTGTACCAGTTTCCTTATCTAGCTGTTGAGTTGGTATGAGGGCATGAGCTGGGGTTGACTGAATGACACTAAGAGAGGGGAGATTTCCAAGGGCAGGCTGAAGGCAAGTGAGGGAAGTACAGGTCAGGTCATGGTGGCCTGATCCAGCAGGGGTCATGGTTGCTGCTACTCTCAAGAGAGCAGACCTCTTACACATGGCCTCTATTTCTGTTCAATTTGAAAACACTAATGGTAGCTCTTAATTGGTCATGCAAGCTCTGTACTAATCTCTGTAGACATAAGCACGTAAGTCTGGGGTTGAAGAAATGTAGGAAGGGAGAGGGATGCATAGAGTACTGCTTTGACTCCAGCTGAGAATCAAGGAAGTTTTCCTAACAAGCTATGGCATCCACTGGGCATTTGGATAGGAGTTTTCTACAGCAGGAATTGAATGCTGCTTCTTCAATAAAGCATCCTTCCCTCTAGACCAGGGGAGATTTCTCAAGCTACTTGATCTCCCGCTCTTCAGTCCCTTTGACTTCACTTACATCCTGTTCAGCAGGTAGGACAGCTCAGGCCTCATAGGAAGTCCCAGAACACTTGGTTGGGTCCACAGCTTTTCTTTTAGGCTTGGGCTTGATGGAAGCAGGTGATGGAAGGAGGAATGGGGAACAAATGTTCTTTTGCTAGTCAAATGCTTTCTTTCTTTCTTTTTCTTTTTCCATTATATCTTTGAGACTGGTTACTATTCAAACCTCTTAACACTTTTTTTCTGCTGGGAAGAGGTTCAGACCCTTCAGTAGCAGGAAGGGAAAGGGAGGGTCCAATTTGCTTCTCTCTAGGAAGTTTCTTTCCCCAGACATAATTTCTCATGGTTCTGTAGTTGAGACTGATTTTTCTCAGAACTCAAGGAACACACAAATGAGGTACAAGTACCACTTTGTATTGCTTTGAAGACTCATTAAGGAGAGAGATCTCAATGTGGATAAACTCTAGAATATAGGTTCCCAAACTTTTTTGGCCTCCTCCATTAAAAACATTTTTTTCATCATGTTCTTGGCAATTAAAACTTTGGAAATATAGTCCATGATCCAGGATAAAGTGTAGGTATCTGCTTTTGCAGTTCCCACCCCACTGGATTCTTTCCAGTGCTTACCAAGGTGTAGAATAGGCCATTTGGGGGACCACTGGTCTAGACTCTAGGTTACAGTGGTTCTTAACCTGTGTGTCGCAACCCCTTTGAGGGGGTCAAATGACCCTTTCACAGGGGTCGCCTAAGACCATCGGAAAATACATATTTCTGATGGTCTTAGGAACTGAGACATCACTTCTCTATCTGTCTCCAGGTGGGTCCACCCACATGCAGATACGCCCACATACGAGTACCCAGTGTGAGGACATCATCATGCCAACCCCATCACATACATCCCTTACAAATACAGGTGTATGTCACAGGGTTGGCGTCATAATGTACTTATGCAGACCAGTCACACATGTGTAGAGAGCAGCTACTGTGTAGAAAGCAGCTGCTGTGTTGAAAGCAGCTACTCTGTTAAAAGTAGCTACTCTGTTGAAAGCAGCAATATTGGAGGTAAAATGATACTGTATGAATTATAATTACTGGGTCAATGTGAATTCATGTATTATAAAATCATCACCTACTGAAAAAAAATCTGTACCATGGGAACTTAATCTGGATGCTGATCAGTCTTTTTATATTCATGGGTTGATGTGAATACTGCCCTTTGTGATAGTAACAGATATGTAAAAAATACAACAGAGAATGATAAATCATAGTATACTTTAGTGAACTGTATTGACTGAACTATGCCATGTATCATCTTTTGTATTATTAAAGCTATTGTTATGTATTATTTTCATTAGCAAACCATCCATGGCAATGGATCATGTAGAGAAGAATGTTAAGAAAAGAAAATATAGTGAGGATTTTTTACAGTATGGTTTTACCTCAATAATTACAGCAGGGATTGAGAAACCACAATGTGTTATTTGTTGTGAAGTTCTATCACCCGAATCTATGAAGCTGAACAAACTAAAATGCTATTTTGATGGCAAGCATCTGAGCTTTGCTGACAAGGATATCAACTACTTTAAAAGCAAAGCTGATGAACTCATGAAAGTCAGACTGGACACTGGTGACAAGTACCACAAACAAAACCTAGCAGCTGTTGAAGCTCCATATATGGTGGCACTCAGAATCACCAGAGCTATGAAACCTCATACCATTGGTGAGGATTTACTGTTGTCAGCTGCCAAAGACATTGTTCTAGTTATGATTGGAAACAAATTTGTTATGAAATTGAGTGCAATTTCCTTATCTAACAACATTGTCCCCAGAAGAATAGAAGACATGTCAGCTGATATTCTTGATCAGGTAATCCAGGAAATTAAATCTGCTCCACTTCCAATATATAGCATCCAGCTTGATTAATCTGCAGACATTGCACACTGTTCATAGTTACTGGTTTACGTGATGTATATTAATGATGGCGACTTTAAAGATAAGTTTCTTTTTTGCAAACCTCTTGAAGGGACAACTACTGCATGTGATGTATTTGACAAAGTGGGTTCAATTCTGAAAGAGCATAAGATCTCTTGGGAAAAGGTTTGTGGTGTTTGCACAGATAGTACTCCAGCTATGCTAGGATGTCGATCTGGATTTCAACATCTGGTATTGAATGAGTCACCAAAAGTCCTCAGAACTCACCGTATGAGTCATCGGCAAATATTAGCAACGAAGATGCTGCCGCAAGAATTATAAGACGTAATGAAAAGCGTCATCAGTTTCCACAACTGTGCAATGAGTTGGATGTGCTGAATAATGCTCTGTTATTTCACACTGAACTGAGATGGTTGTGGAGAGGAAACGTTTTGAACGTGTTTTTGAGCTTCGTGATGAACTCAAAATGTTTTTTAATCAGAAAGCAAGGCCGCAGTTTGAAGCACTTTTCAGTGATAAAAGTGAACTGCAGAAAATCACTTACTTGGTTGACATGTTTGCCATCTTGAATGAGTTAAATTTATCACTGCCAGGACCAAAGGCAACATGCCTTGATTTGTCTGAAAAGATCTGATCATTCCAAATGAAACTTCAGCTTTGGCAAAAAAAAAAATGGATGAAAATAAAATTTACATGTTGCCTACCTTATCTGCTTTCTTTGAGGGACATGACATTGAACCCGGCAAAAGGAATATGCTGATAATTTCTGTGAAAGAACGCTTGCACATGCTTACAGTCGAAATTTCATCATACTTTCCAGTTCTACTGGACACCCCTTTGCACTTGTCAAAAGTCCATTCACAGTTAAAGTTGAAGATGTTCCTGAGACAGCACAAGAGGAGTTCATTAAACTTATTAAGAGTGATGTAGTGAGAACTGATTTCTCTGCAATTCCAGTTACAAAATTCTAGATCAAGTGTCTGCAGTCATACCTTGTTCTGTCTGAGACTGTGTTGTGCCTTCTTCTTCCATATCGTTGCGAAACAGAGTTTTCCAGCTTGTTGGTTATCAAGTCTAATTACAGAAATAGACTTGTTGTGAAAGATAATCTTCGCTGTGCTCTTGCAAAGACTACCCCGGGAATTTCAAATCTGGTGAGAAAGAAGCTATCTCTACCTTTGCACTGACATTGGCTTTTTATACATACTGTCCCAAAATGAAGGAATGTAGTTTACTGTTGTTATATTAAGACTGTTACCCATGCTACACCTGTTTCAAGACAAAGTTTCATTTATGTGTAATTAGAAATAAATATTTCAAATATATAATTATATATTATTTTGTGATTAATCACTATCTTTAATTATGTACAATTTGTAACAATGAAATACATCCTGCATATCAGATATTTACATAATTATTCATAACAGTAGCAAAATTACAGTTATGAAGTAGCAACAAAAACAATTTTATGGTTGGGAGGTGGGTCACTGCAACATGAGGAACTGTATTAAAGAGTCATGGCACTAGGAAAGTTGAGAACCACTGCCCTAGAACATTGAAGAGGTGTCAGAGGTTTGCATAAAATGCTACTACATTTCATTCTTTTTCTAGAAATTACCTTCACCTGGCAAACTCTTACTCTGTATTTGAGACCTTATGCAAAACTTACCCTTTAAATCCTCCTTGATTAATGCATGAAGAATTAGCTACTTTACCTTTAATGTCTCACTTGGACTTCACTGGAATGCTGAAGACAGCACTTACAGCATCTTCCACACTTTATTTATGCGCACAGCTTGCTTCCTAATACATCTGTGAGGCAGTCCAGGGAAGTGCTTGTGACTTATTTCTAGCATAGACCTGGAATCTATTGTGATGTCAGATACCTAGAATGAGCTCAATTTATATTTCTTGAAAAGTCAGCCAAGGAAATGTGAAGTAACTGCTTCTTCAGTGGCATAAGATACAGTTCAGAGAGAAACCAGAGGTTGAAATATTGAGTTTAGCTCAGCATTTATAGCAGTCAATGTCAGATTACCCAACAAGCAAAGTATACTTGGATTTATGTGTCCTTACTTATGATCTGTGGTGAATAATTTCACATTTCTCCTTACATAAAAGGTTCTTTTTCTAGGAGTGGTGGCATCCATCTCTCTCCCAACCTACAGCACCTTCCTACAGAATCAGAGTCTCTTTTAAAATTTAAAATCCCTGACAGGGACAGAACACACAGGAAATAAGATAAACCTAGGTTTACTTGTGTTTGCTTACTTCTCCGTAGTGTACAGTTTCATACGTGGTTCACCATAGAAAACATGTTAAGTTGTTCTCTGCTGATTACAGCTAGGACTCCAGGTTTGTTTACTAGCCAATGTACCTCATGTGCAGCCATCACACATTTGTAAGTAGTGGCTGGCGTGCTGCTGCGACGGATTAGGAAAAAAGGTCTGGATATCCAAATAATTACAAATATTAGCCAATGAAACCACATGGATCACAGTGGTGTAATCTGCAGTCAATCACAGGGATGGTGCAAGACCTGCCAGTGTGTTACTCCATTATGGCTGGGGTCACCACGAGCCAGAGACTGACTGGCCAACAGCTAACAACGTTTGCATCATTTTCTGACCAATGCCTGTCTTTGGTGACAAGCAGCATCTCCACAATGGCTTCTAAGTCCCCACTCTGCTTGTCTGATGTGACAGTTAGGGACATTATTTGATACTGGAAGCCAAGGACCAGAGTTCACGATTTGAGACTTCAGGTTCATAACACTGGACATTGTATTACATTATTTATTTTTAAGTAAAGGGAGCTCAATGAAACTGAATAAATTGTTACTTAGACAGTGATATGTCAACTGCATGATGTTTAGAAAGGTTACCATTTAACAAATAATCCATATGCATACAAGGATGAACAGTAAATATGACTATTAATCAAGCTTATGTACCAACCATTAATGCCCACAAAGAGAACTTGAATATTTTGATGAACTTCTGCACCCTGAAATTAATCAAAAAGTGCAATTGAGATGCACTAATAATTTCTGGTGATTAGAATGTGAAATTCAGAAACCAAGAAGGCTCAACAGCTGGAAAACACAGACTTGGTGATAAAAATAATGCCAGAGACAACAGGATAGAATTTTTCAAGACAACTTATTCATTGGAAATATATTTTTTACCAACAACAGAAATGCACATAGGCATTGCCAGGTGGAATGCATAAGATCAAACAGATTACATCTGTGGAAAGAGATCATTGAGAAGCTTAATAACATTATTCACAATAAGACCAGAGACCAGCTGCAAAATGAGCCATTCATTATTCATTTGTAAGGTGAAGTTAAAGCTGAAGAAAAGAACAGTCTTCAAGAGCCAGCACATGAGTTGAGGTATATCCCACTTGAATTTAGAGAGTATCTTAAGAATAGATTTGACACATTGAACACTATTGATGGATGAATTATGGAATGACGTCATCTGCAGAGAAAGCATAAGGTCATTAAAAAGACAGGGAAAAAAAGAAAAGACAAAAATAAATTTCAGAGGAGACCCTGCAGTTTAGTTTTATCCTATTACATACAGATATGATTTTACTATCGTTTGTTTGAAAATTATATATGGCTAAAGAGCTATGTGAAAGTGTCAAATTGACAAGGGATGGTCTATGGTAGTTACATAATCGGTGTCAGTTTGAGGATGAAGAGCATAGGGGTGGAGTCTAACCTGTCAATCAGGGTATAACCCATGAGGCCTCTGTGTGGGAATGGCCTTCTCCTGAGGATTCTGGCAACTCCTGTATTTCCTCCTTGGAGGCTTGAGGCTCTCTCTCTCTCTTCTTACTCCCTTGAAGACTCTCGACTGACAAGGCTCACTCCCTAAGAGACATTTCTGAGGAGAAGCCACATGAAGCTACCCTGAGGCAGTCAGAGTTTGGGAGCAGAAGGAAACATGTGGAGACACCTGCCAGCGCTGAGATGCTTCCAATGCCACTGGATCCACAAAACTTCCAACTCATTGGCCTGTATCATTGCCTGTGTTTTGCTAGTCTGAAGAGGACTTTATAAATTGGTATCAGACATATGGGCTTATATCGGACTTATGGAGTTGATCTGGACTGGGCTGGGAGGTTTTCTCAATATTCAATTGCTCTTATATATAAAACTCTTTCTTTTTCACAGATGAGTGTCTATGAATTTGTTTCTCTAGTCTGCCCAGACTAACACACCCTGAAACTTACTCTTGAGTGTCGAGTAGTGGAAGTCAAAGGAAGAAATGATGAAGTAAGAGTGGAACGGAGATTTCAAAGGGTGGCTCAAGAAGACAAAGGGAAGTGTTACAGGTAAGCATTCAATACCTGCATCTAGAAAACCAAAAGGGAAGACAATGCTTGGCATTTCTCAAATTAAAGAAAAAACTTAACCCTTAAGTTGCACTATTAATCGATTCAACGGGCAAAGTATGAAATGATGCAGGAAGTATCCAAATATGAAAGGCATACATGAGTTGTGTACGCCCCCCCCACAAAAAAAGGTTGCCATTCAAACATTTTAGGAGGTAGCATTTGACCAAGAACTGGTGGTACTGAAGGTGAAAAACAATTGGGTAACAAGTGGGTAAAAATTTGTTTTTATCCTGCATCCCTTTCACCTCTTAAATGTCCTCCTCAAGGTTTATATCACTCTGAGAATGTGGCCTACATATGGCTCTGAAGTGTATTCCATGAGCTGAGTCTAGGAGTGAATTCTATATAAATATCAACCTAAAACCGGAAACATTTTTTGCACTGCTTAAATATATTCTCTCAGGAATACAGCTACTGTGATTTTGAAGGAAGATGGCTTTTTGCTCACAAATTTTATCAAGAATAGCTCCCCATTTTGTAAAATCACACCGTTGATGTGTTGCAGGTCATGATATTAGTATTACCAGTATCACAAATCTCTTGAACTCTGTGGTTATGTTGATTTTATGAGTAGATCCTCATGTACCTTGTTAGCCACTATTTTTAAATGTCATTATAAAAAGTACTCAGATGTTGAACATTATTTTCTACTTCTCTTAAAACTAAACTTAATCATCATAAACTGGTTAAGCATTTGATCATATTTGCTTTTAATTTTGTTGTCTATGAAAAATTCCCATGTTGGAATTACTATTGTCCCATTATAAATGATTTTCTTTTATAACACAGAGAATGAAATGCTTATTGTTATAGAATATATAGCACAACATTTGCCAATTTATTGATGGCAATTTCATTACTCATGCTGTACACTCATCACTCATAATCATTGCTAAATTTCCCTGCATCATAAACAGAAGCTCACTGCTTTTTCAGCAATGCCTTCCCTTTCCCCTTCCTCTCATTCCTGGCAGCTACTGACCAGCTTTTGTCCCTATTCATTCACCTACCCTTTCCCGAAACTTTAGATGATTTCAGAAGAAGATGTTACACAAAAGATATGGATGGATGGATCTTGGCTAAAAGCAGAGGATGCTGGAAAGCATTTTACTTATTGATTATGCAAAGGCAAATAACTGCGTGGATCATAATGCACACTAAATAACATTGAGAAGAATGGGATTTCCAAAACACTTTATTGTGCTCATATGGAATCTGTATATGGTTCATGCAGCAGTCGTTTGAACAGAGCAAGGAGACACTGCATGGTTTAATACAAGAAAAGGAGCGTGTCAGGGTTGTATCCTTTTACCATATTTATCCAATCTTTATACTAAGCAAATAATTTGAGAAGCTGGACTATATGAAGAAGAATGTGACATCTGATTGAAGGAAGACAACCACCTGCAACAAGCAGATGAACCAAACTTGCTTGTTGAAAGTGAGGAGAACTTTCAGCATTTGCTGATGATAATCAGAGACCATAGCTTTATTACGGATTGACACTCAATGTGAAGGAAGCAAAAAATGCTCAAAACTGGACCAGTAGGCAATATTCTGATTAACATAGAGAAAATCGAAGTTGTCAAGAAATCAAACAACGTATTTCTTGGGGCAAATCTGCTGCACAAGACCTCTTTGAAGTGTTGAACAACAAGGATGTCACTCTGAGGACTAAAGTGTGCCTGAGCGAAGCCATGGTATTCTCAGTGATCTCAAATGCATGTGAAAGTTGAACAGCTAATGGGGAAGACAAAAAGAATAACTGATGCATTTGAATGATGGTGCTGGCGAAGAATCTTGAAGATACGGACCGCCAGAAGAACAAGCCAATCAGTCTGGGGAAGAACAACTAGAAGACTACTTAGACATGAGGATGGCAAGACGTTGTCTTCACATCCCTCCCCTCACAGACTTTGGACTTGTCATCAGAAGAAGCTAGTCCCTGGACAAGAGCATCATGCTCGGTAAAGTAGAGGCTCAGAGAAAAAGAGGAAGGCTCTCAAGGAGATGGATTGACACTGTGGCTGCCACAACGGTCGCAAGCATAACGATGATGGATGATGGTGAGGACGGTGCAGGAAAAGGCAAGACTTCATTCTGTTGTGCAAAGGGTCGCTGTGAGTCAGAACCTCCTCGACAACACTGAAGAACAACAAGACCACCATTCTTGTCCGTGAATTTAAGGGAGGCCATATCATCTTTGTCCTTGTGTGATGAGTTATTTCATTCCGCTTATTCTTTTCAAGGTTCAGCCGTGATGTAGCACATACATCAGGGCTTTATTTCCCTTTATGAGTGCGTAATATTTCATTGTAGGTATGTACCATGCTTTGACTATTTGTTCACTCATGGGTACACATGTAAGTTTTTTCTACCTTTTGGCTTTTGTTAAAAATGCTACAACAAACATTGGTGTGCCTGTGCCTGTGTTGTTGCTTTCATGTCTTTTGGGTACGTAGGTCGGAGCAGGATCACACTGATCGGCAGTATGTTGCTGTTCTCATTAGGTAAAATAGAGTCAGTTCTGACTCACCCGAAGTACAACTGCACAAAACACTGCTCTTTCCCTGTGCCATTCCCCAAATCGTTGGCCATCGTGGTGGCCAATGTGCCAAACCATTGCCTTGATGGTCTTTTTCTTTTTCTCTGATGCTCTGCAGGTATGGTGCAGATATATATATTTTTTGAAGAATCACTGAGTTATTTTCTACTGTAGGTCTACAATTTTGCATTTCGACTATCAATGGATATGGATTCTAAATGTCTCTACATCCTCAGCAACATCGCTTTTTGGAATTTTCCTTAAAAACAATCTTAGCTGTCCAATAGGAATGAACTGGTAACTCATTGTGCTTGTGATTTGCATCACGTTAATGGCCACTGACGTTGAACACCTTATGTTGTGAGTCATCTGACCAGCCTCTTTGGTGAAACATCTTCTCTTTGGCCTGTTTCAGGATTGGACTGCTTGTCTTAGCATTAACTTTCTTTTGAAATTACATATAAATATAGGTAACATTCTGCTAGACTGTTCCATACACAATGCTGCTGTTGTTGTTAGCTGCCATTGGGTGTGGTCTGACTCATGGGCACCCTGTGCTCAGCAGAAGCAGCGTGGCCTGGTCTTATGCTGCCCTCACACACTTTGGTATGTGGGAGCCCGGGTGCCACTGTGCCAGTCATCTCGGCCACGGTCTTCTATGTCCTGCTGACCCTCTACAGCTAGAATATTGCCTATGGAAGGGGGTTTGTGGGTCTGACAGAATTGAGAAAAACAGATTTAGGCAAACCAAATGAGCATTTGGGATATAGAAAAAGATGAATTATCTTTTGAGTGTAATGGGAAGTGGCATAATAATGGACCCTGGGGAGTGGTTGAAAATTTACAATGGAACTTCTAAGGTTGGGAGTTGAAGGAGCTGCCTTCTTGAGTCATGCCCATGTCTAGTAAGTATTTAGGAGTGCTAGGGGAGCCGTGAAGAAGCACTGGGCTGCTCACTGAAAAGCTGGGGATTCACATCCACCAGCCGCTCTGCTGGAAAAAGGCGTGTTATTCTCTGCCGCAGGCAGCACAGCCTGCGATCTCTACTGGGACACAGGGCAGCTCTACTCTGGCCTACAGGGGCACTCTGGAGGGCAATCAGTGGGTTTTTGTTTAGTGTTCAGTATGTACTCTGTTACATACATTGCTGAGAAATTTTCCATATTACTTTCTGTCCCCTTTGGCTCAGAGATGTTGTTATTCTCAACATCGGCACGGAAACCTGCCCAGATCATGCAGAAAATGGGGCAGAGCCTAGAAACCCATGTGTGTCCACCTACCGCATGTACTGGACTTTAAGGGCATGAAAAAGGGGCGTGAGTCTTTCCTGGCACCTTCTGGGCAGTGCCTCTGTTAAATGGATTGGAGAACATCTGAACAACTAAGGGGCCCCGGCTGCCTTGTTTGGGTTTCCTGCCTCTGGTCACGGGGCCGGGGCTGGGCTCAAGGGAAAGGTTGGGCCAGAATGGGGTGTGGTGAGAGTAGGGTTCTTTTTGCATAGGCCTGCTCCCTTTCCTGCAGGTATCTGAGGGGCACACACATTTTGAAATAATGTTTACACAAGGACCATATTTCAGCAATTAAACAATATTGTAATGGCAAAGGCCAGAAGAGGAACTCCTTTTCAAAGTATTCATAAAAAATTAGAAGTTCCATTTATTATTTTGAAAAGCTCATTAAAACGTCACCTCCACCAGTTCCTGGAACTTCCCTGTTCTGAAGTTTCAAAGCAGAGTAGAAAGTCCATGGTCCCCTCTGGCATCTCTGCTGTTCTGTGTGTTTCAGAGAGAGGAAAATGAAGCCAAATCATCCATGCTGCTTTCTCCAGGCTCCTTCAGTCTGGAGAGTGCCGCCGCCCAGAAGCAGCCTTAGAAGAGGAGGCAGACTCCTGGGGAACATCCTTTGGGGGCTCCCTAGACATGCAGAGATGGGTCCAGGGAAAGCACCCATGACCTGGTCATTGTTCCCCTACCCCTCCATTTGCCGAGCTCTTTCCTCTGGGAGGAAGTGGGAGCCAAGTGAGAGCCTTTACTCAAGTGTCCAAGTGGGACCCTTTCCTCAATAAAATCATTCCAGACCCACCTGCATTTGTCCCCTGGGTCTCTGCTTTCTGAATGCTGAGTCCTGCATCCCAGCTCCTCCTCTTCTCCTGTTTTGTTTTTTGTTTGGTCACTTTCAGAGTCCCATACTATGCTTGGGACTCTTTTTTTTTGTGTCTTTACATAGAGTTTTAACTCAACTAGAACCCCGGGGGGTTGTAAATCATTAAGGCTCTCTGCCCAAAGACAGTATCTCCAGGCCCTTGGCTTCCCGGTGAGTACATTGACTGTGTATTTTCCCCAGTGATGTGTGATGTGGGTACTTCTAAGCTGAGGTGATGGAGACTTAGGCCATCTCTCCCTCCCTTCTCACCAGTGGAAGACAGTAGAACT